ATTTATATAATTGTTTTATATAAATTTTATACATACAAATATATAATACATATATATACATAAAAATTTATAAACAAATAATTGTAGAAACTTACCATAATTGCAGATTATTTGTTTAAATATTCACAGTTAGGTTTACTGAATGATTTTGTCTTGAGGTTTTGCTGGTGTTCTACACGCAAGCACTTTAAATACTGGTTTGAGCGCGGGTTGAAAATAGTCGAAACAGATACGTTATATCCTCTGATTTAAGATAAAAACGTATCGGAAACAATATGCGTTTTTTTGATTGCCAAGTTATCTTTAATATGATGTAGTGTTTTATGTGATAGACATAAAGATTCACTTATATAAATGGGCGTTAGAGTGAACACTTCATGTATTTTTATACAATGTTATCTTAGTGTTTACTTATAACATGTATAGTTTTATCAGATTATCAAGGAAAGTAAACAATTTTGTATTTTAAGTTTATGGAAAAAAATTTTTATTCGTTAAAAAGTAAAAACTATATTATCTTTGTGGCTGATTGTGAGACAAGCCTGTGATATTCCACTGTGGCATCGTATAATAAGATAATATTTTATAATATAAAATATGCCAGTAAATCAACTGTGTTGGTCTCTCCCATCTATTTTTAAATTATCAAGCCGTTTTTTCAACTATATATTTGGATGTGTTTTTCTAATTTTGTCTTTAATTTTATAAGATGGTTCTTAGTATTTTTTTATGTAAATGTAGATATTGCGGTGGCTATTGGAATCTAAATTAGAAGAAAACCGGAAAAATGTAATGATCAAAGTTTGTAAAATCGGGAATACAATCATCTTTATTATAGAACTTACAGTGTCTTGCGTGCTTTACATCTCTCACACTTGCGTAACGCGTTGTTCAGAGCAAGCGATTGCTCTATCAGGTAGAGCTTCCGGTCGTAACGCAATTTGGAACGATTTCTGGAACACTTCTATCACGTCCGGATACTATCTTTTATACATCAATCATCACATGTTTCTAATCAGCCAATAGTTTGTGATTGATTGATTAAAAACACGCGACATCCAATCTAAGAAAAGTGCAATGCCAATTGTTGTATCTTTTCGACCGTCGTGCACACACAACTCCTGCTTAGCATCCTTGGATATGCTATCGCAAAGCGTGCTATCCGCAATTTGTTGATTGAACATCATTTCAGTCACACAGAATTCCATTCAAGACAACTTGTAAAAATACAATTAATATAAAACAACTAAAACCCCAAAATAACTAAAAACAATAATACACGCATAACAATAATAATAATAATTCACAAATCTTTACCATACAACATCATATTTCTTTGATTACAATTATGAGATCGTGTTTATATCTTTGATGTATTCTTAAGCAATTGTATTTGTTTGAGTCAATACAACTGGAATATTGCAATTCTGTGCTTTGATGGCGATTCCACTAATATAATACGCTTTATTTATTTATACAGTATATATTAGTATATATTAAACAGGAGATTTTTTATTGCACATAATGCGATTGCTCAAGATTATATAAAATATTACTAGTTACACATATCATACATTCGTCATCAAATAACATAAATGTATGATGTAACACAATGAAAGAAAAGTACTTGAATACTATAAAGATATTAATAATATTATATTTTTTATAATAGTTATATAATAATGTGTGTTTAATAATATATAAACAGTATATAAAAGTACACTGTTACTTTGAGGTTTGTATTAGTAAACTATTAATATTCTTAATACAATGTATGATATAAATTAACATTCCTCAGAAGCCGAACATAGTGTACAATGTGCAACAAATATTTGTTTTTATTTCTTCATAAGATACAGACGTTTCGACCATTACATTATAGTTTTTCTACTTTTTAATACAAACAATTGTCGGTAAAAATACATAACAATTATTTATTATTTAACAATTATCTAGTAGTATCATATTTTTAACTAACAATAAGTAGTAAATTTATAAACTAATAAATATATATTCGGTCATGAGAGCCGTTCGCTAGGTGTTGTGCGGAAATTATACGTGTATATATATCCATATATACGTGTTCACATGTAAATTTTTACACGTGAAATTCGAATTGAAATAACAATTCTAAAATTCATATTGGATGCTATACTTGCATCTCGTATATGAGAAATCCCAATAGTAAATTTATATTTTTGTATACTTCAAGTAGTATATCAATTTTACTTTTTAATCTAATAAATGTACAGTAAGATTTTGTGGCAAATATTCGAAGTAACTAATATTTAAATATTTTAACGGATTCTTCATGAGATACAGGTCTCTTAATGATATTGTACTTGATAAAGACAATAATTCTAGCGAAGTAAAATTATTTTTGCACAAATTCAAATATTTCAAAGATATCAAAGATTCAGACCATCCTTCTGGCAGAGAACTCAACTTATTGTTCGACAAATTTAATTTCTCCAGCATAGGAAGTTGACTAAATGCGTTAGTATCAATCCATTCTATATCATTTCCTTCCAGAAATAATTTCTTTAATTTCAGAAACTGAATGAAAACGTTCGGACGTATTGTAGTTATTTTGTTGTGGTGTAAAAACAAAGTACTAATGTTTAGTTCATTTGCAAAGTGAGGTATATTTTTGATTAGATTGAAACTAAGATCAACTGTTTGTAAGTACTTTAAGTTTGCAAATGTGTATTTATGCAAAGTCTCTATAGCATTTCCAGACAGATTCAAAAATTCTAACTTGTTTGTATCTTGGAAAGCATCTGACTGAATATCGGTAATGGAATTCATAGAAATAGAAAGAATTCTTAAAGATTTCATGCTAAAGAGATCGAGACTCCATTGATTGCCGGATTGCCAAGTTAAATACTTTATCTCATTATTATCTAAGATCAATGTACACACATCCTCTCCTTTTTTATACAAGTGTAAAGATTGAAGCGAGTTTTCATGAAGATCGAGAAAACTCAGGCCATTTCTAGGTAACAGATTTACAAACTTGGTTGTTTGTATTCTGTTTCTAGAAAGATCTAAGAATTTCAAGTTTGGAAATGTAATATCTAACCTCAGAGACATCAAATTTTGAGAAGATAATTTATACATATTATCACTTTCATATGGAGAATATACTAGATCTCTTATGTAGTTTTCAGAAAGAGATAAAATTTCTAAGTTTTGATATTTTCCGTCAATCCGTTGTTCAAATGATTTATAATAATTCTCGTAAGATTTATAGCTATCCATAATAAGAACTTTTAAATTTTCGTGGCCACTTAAGTGAATATTGGATTTGACGTTATTATAAGAAAGAAACAGAGTAGTTAAGTTAGGAAGTTTTCGAAAGGCATTGTCTGCGAGATACGTAATATGATTATCCGTAAGATTAAGACAAGTTATTAATGAGCTGCTGATAAAATCATCACCAATGCTATTGATGATTGTATGTGCAAAGTTTAAAGAGATAATGTTGTTCTCACAATCATCTGAGGAATTGTTTACATAGCTTCTCCAAAGATACGGGGAGACATCATTGGCTTTTAATAATGTAAAGAAACAGAGAAGAACTGCGATCGTACCAATGATGGTAATATTGTTGTTTTTTATTGATTTCTGGAAACATAATAAGACGTGTCTATGTTACAATTGTGTAACCAGAGATTGAATTGGTATTAGTAATACCGGTAAAATATCGGCAGTTTTAAGTAGGTAGTCTAATATCTTTAAAGTAATCGGATGCTGCGAATACCGATATGAAGTCATAGAAATTACGTTATACTGGTGTAGACGTATTTCGATATAATATCGATAAATATTCTATAATATAAAGGAAAAAGAAATTATAAATTAAATAGTACAAAGAACACAGTTTTACAAATATAGAATTAATATTATTATTAATATTATTATTATTATTAAATGATATCGTTTTTTGTAACATTATTATTTTGATTCTGCAAGAATCAAATATAAAAGATAAATTAAATAAGCATTTTATTATATATATCAGCATTAAACAGCTATTGTACCGATAAACTATTATACCAGTATAAGTTTTTTATATTGTTCTTAACAAGATTGCTATTATAACAGAATATATTTCGGTATTTTTACCGGTACGTCAAATACCGGTAAAACATAAATAAAATTAGCGGTAGCGACCGTTTTATACCCGTATTAAAATTAGTTTACTAAATAGCGGGTACATTACAATAATATGAAAATAAATACCGATATGATACCAATGCCTTAAAATATATCGGTATTCAATCTCTGTATGTAACCATGAACATGGCTCATCTATATTACAATATATTTTAAGTTTGAGTTTCGAAAAAATGGATTCTTCAAATTTGATTAAATGTTATTAAAGTTACAGCTAACAATTAAAACAATACTAAATTAACAACAAACATAGTCAATAAAGATCTGTGATCAAGTAGAAGAAAAACTAAAATACGGCAAAATAATAACAAATATCGATAATATTGTCTCATTTGCAATATATTATTTAGATATAGAGCATATTTATTAAATTACGACTGCTAAGTAGTTGTAAAGATTTGTCATTTTTTTAATAAAGAAATAATATTTCCTAGTTTTTTCAATATATAAATAATTTTTACTTTTTTATATCTAATGTCTTAATTCATTTAAATTACTTTCTAGATTTGTTATTATTAATTTGTTA